AAGACAGAAGCTCTATCTCTCTGTTCAGTGTTTTTCACACTGCTTCTTCCAAACTTAAATGCATTTTGTATGTTTCTTTAAGTTTTCAATTATGCTTTGACCTTGCCTATTTCCGTGGGTTCATGGCTTCCTAAGGCAGTGAGTCTCTTGCAACTCTGAAGTTCAAAATCAAAATTTGTGACGCTTTTAGTGAGCGCAAAATGCATGTGAAAGCAATAAGATACTGTGAAATGGAAGGAGTAGAGGACAGAATTCCAGTGTGGTGGGAATGGCTTATGTACAAGGGAAAGATTGTCATCCTGGCCTTGTGGTAATAAAAAGAAGAAAACAAACCAGTCCAGGGCTTTCTGGAAGACTTGGAGTGTGCAATTATATATTATGCTAGGTGGAAAGTGCCCTAAGCCTAAAGGAAAAGGGAACTTGGAGAGGATGGTGTTGCAGCAAAGAGTGTTGCCCCAGGAACAGAAGAAACAAATGAGGCTCTCAAAGGAAGGAGAAGGGGATAAGAAGATGTCTGAGGCTGTTGATGGGTGGAGGGCGCTTAATAGAAGCTTTTCAAAGATCTTTTCTGGTTTCCCAAGGGGTATTATAGTCTCAAAGGTGGCAGAAGACAACTCTGTCAGCAGCCTGCATGCACTGGAAGGGTTTTACAGTTCTCATTGGGCAAAGGTATGAAGACTAGATTTCTGAAGACAGAAACAGACAGGGTTTAGTGCCATATAAGCAATAACAGTAAATAAAGGAAAAGTTAAATCAGCACTTTCAGCTCCTGCATTCTAACTATCAAAAGGATCTTTCAGTGATTTCAAGGCTGTGCATGAAGAGCACACAAGTTTCTGGTCCTTGGTGTTACCAGAAATTGCTTCTTTCTGGAATGAGTGAATGCAGTGTTTCTTGATCTGATTATATCTATAATGAGCACAGGAGAGATTGTGTTGGACCTCAGATGGACAATGAAGCCAAGAGGATGGCACTTTTTAAATTTTTTTGGGGGAATGTGCCAGCCAGAGAGAGAAAGGCTCAGAAGAAAAAAAAAAAAAACAAACCATAACATGAATATCTTCTTTCAATGTGATAGTGAGCAAACTTCTTTTTTATTCCTTAAATAGCAAAAGGGAAATGCAGAGATTCATACCAGTCCTGACAAGAGATTTCTCATTCTTACCACTCGGTTCCTGTGGTAGCTAGCCTAGCCTTTGCTGACTTTAATCAGGGAAAAATCTGTTATATGGTCATGGGTTTTATGATGTGTTCTACTAGCATACTGCAGTAGTAATATTTATCTCTTCAAGATAGAAGTCAATGATAGGATATGGCTTTTTTTTTTTTTTTTTTTTTTTTTTTTTTTTTTTTTTGGCAAAGGATGCTTTTGATTGTGCAGATCCTGCCCTGCTCCCCAGTTCGGCAGTGAAAGGGCAGAAGGGCAGAGCTGGTGGCTTTCAGCCTTCTGGAGGAAATCTGTACCACCTGGAAAGGATGCCCCAGTGTGCTGCTGTGATGGCATTTCTGACATGCTAGGTTACCCTCTTAACTGAGAAGAGGTTAAATAATCAGGAGAGGGGAGAGAGAAGGGGAGTAAATATTGAGAACTGAATAGGTACCCTTGCAAACAGTGGAGGGAAGTTTGTAGCCTGGCTCAGAAAACCGCTGCCCTCTCCTGATGAGTGGTATTCAGTGTGGCAGTACCGGGTATAGCTTGAGCATGCTTGCTGGCTCAGATTAGATATCTAAATAACACCTCCTCTCTTCCCCTGCTCCACTCCTGCCTTTTGTCATGAGGGGTGCACCATCTTCTTCAGCTTTTCATCTTCACTCTGCATGGCTGTGAAACGAAGAGAGGACTATCTAGTTCCATTTCATGAATGCAGTATTTTTAGTCTGGGAGACGGGTGAGCAATCTTTTCGCAGTCTGTTCTCCTTATGTTCCTAAGCTGCGCAGATGAAAGGAGCTAATGTGTGCACACATACACAGAAGCAAGAAAATCAGTATAAAATATTATACCTATTTTGTCACATGTCCAGGCCTATTTTGAAGTTGTGATTTCTGCACATTTCAGCCTCTTTGAAAAGAAAACAGAATTTTGCCACATGTATCACTTTTATTCATATGCTGTTGCCTTGGGTAGTAACAGGAGAAGAGTACCTTTTTCTACCAGTGCCTCAAAATCCTTATTTCTGCAGCTGTTGCAGCACCTCTAGTGTCAGTGCTATTTGGACTGGAATAATACCTCTGTAATCCAGAGGCATCTCCTAGGAACAAGACACTGAAATGACAGATTTCTGAAATCATATGTGCCAGGTCTTCAGCATTATTCTGTGGATACTGAAGTTTACTTGTGGGGATTACGTAATAATCAACTAATCACTCATTTAGCTCCTGTAGTGCCTGTAGGGTGATTGTTCAGTAAAAGTGTGTATAGCAAACAGTTCACAGTGTCTTTCCCATCTCTGTCCTGCAGCTCTATGATATTTTCCCATGGCTCATGTGACACTTTCCAGGGCCTCAACAAAAGGTGTTTGTTTTCTCTGATTTTATGTATCCTTTCATAACAAAGGAGATCAGAGTCCACAAGGAGAGAGGCAGAATAGATGACCCACAAGATTTCATTGATTACTACCTGTCTCAGATGGCTAAAGTGAGTGTATGCCAGGTGTGTAAAGATAGGCATGTTTGACTCAAACGCTCAGCCCTTACCCTCTTTGTATTCCTGGGAATGTCCTTCCACATAGCCTTGAGCAAAGAGATTCTGCAAACTGAAGTAGAAGATGCTTCCTTTCCTCTTTGATTTCAAATGCAAAGCTATAAGCTTACTTAGGAAGCGGATGTTTGGTATATAGAATCATTTAATGTGCTTGGTGCTGCTGACTGGGAGTTTGTTGCAAGTTTTAGCAAAGGAGTGTCACAGACACCAGCCATACAGCTACTTTAGGGAACTGATACTTTCCATTCCCACTGATTCTGCAGTCTTAACTCTTCTCGAGAGAGACTGCTGTGGTCAAGCTGTACACAATAATGGTGATAATGATAGACAGGAATGATGACAGTGCTCTGAGCACAAAGAGTGACCAAGCTATCTTAACAAGAAGATATAACATACAGGGGAGAAGGCATTTGGTGGAGAAGCTAAGTAGGCAGACTGGGGATGGAAGAGAAAAACCTTCTCCTATTTTGCTACACCTTCTGCAATGAGGTTTAACAGGAAGGCTGGAGGGAAAGCAATGCATGACAAGGAACTGAAGGCACAGGACTTTGGCCCTCTTTATATAGTTCAGAGAAGAAATTCTGTATTACAGGACAGGTGCAAACTTACTGCAAGACTTGAAAAAAATATAGGCTTATTTCTTCCTATTATTCCAGCAGCTCTATTTCAGATTCTTATGGAAGTGTTGTTTGGTTTGGGGATAGTACTCAGAGATGTTCGGGTACCCCAGATGTGGTCATGCTCATTGTTACACAGGTCCATCTCCTGTCCTTTAACATCCTAGTCCTGATCGACTCTGCAGACTAAAAACAATGCCGCATACAAAGATGATGAAGACAACGTGGTGCAGTCTATTTTTGACCTCTTCCTGGGTGGCTCAGAGACCACTGCCACCAGTCTAAGGTGGGCCCTCCTCTATATGGTGGCTTATCCTGACATTCAAGGTGAGGCGCAGACCCAAACATGGATATGTTTCAGGTAGAACAACTGTCTGTTACATGCTTTCAAGCTTTATTTTTAAGAAGCCAGTGAAGCTGAAAATTTCCAGCAGAGATTCTTAAATAATATCAGGGATGCTCAGCTTCTGATACTGTATTTCATCTACTTGATTATTGTCAGACTGTTTCAGTGCAGTCAGCATATAAAAGAAGATGCAGTCTGGCTGAAAACACTCCGAGTGAAATAGGAGCTGGGGTTAAGGAAAAATGAGACTTTTCTTGTGTCCAAGATGTGTAATAATATTATATGATTTGTGCTCATTAATTGAGGCATCAGTTGTATTTCTGTATAATAAATATGTTCATTGTAATGTATGGGAAGGTTAAATATAGAAGAAGAAGACGTTAATGGGAAGACAGATGACTTAGGAAACTCTAGATGAAGGACATAGTTGCACACTATTTTCAAACTGTTTAATGATTTGATACAAGAGATGAAGTGCTCTCAGCGCTTACTGTTAGTGGTACAAAAGAGAGACCTGGTTAAGAAACTTTGCCGTGTCAACTGTGATACCTCTACAAATTCACAATGACTTTTTTTTTTTTTTTGACTCTGTGTCACGGTTGTGAAGACTGCACTCAGTTTTAGAGCTATACTCTAAATACTTCTTTTCATACTTTTGGTGCTAGAATGCTGGAAGAACAGAGCCCTGTGCACACGCATACCTTTCAAATGTTAATAAAATTAAAAAGCAAACAAAACTTCTTAGATTACTAGCTTATTTTTTAAAACCTACAATTTTAGCCTGAATCCTCTGAGACTGCGTAAACTGTGTTACTTGCTGAAGCATATATAACAGCCAGAAGAGATTAGCAGTTGGTGATGGTTAGGTAATGTTATTCTGTTCCACTTCACAGCATTACATATGTATATGAGCTTGATACAATAGCTTTTTTGCAACGTACCTATTAGTACACTGTCAGTTTGTATTCAGCTAGATTAAAAATGATAACTTGAGTAACTCACTCAATATCTTAATAAGATTACTGTTTTATTTACAGCTCACTGCCCTGCCTTTAACTATAAAGCTCAGTAAATCTGTTGGGCTTGTGGAAAGGTGATCTGAACATAGAACCTATAAACTAGGAAATATCAGATTATAGTCAAGTCATAACTAAATAGTCATATATGTGTGTTTTAGCTGTGTTATATATTCTATCACTACTATAATCCAAAAAGCAAACCAAAGGTCTCTGTTTCATATAAAACACAGTATTTTTCCATCTGTAATGGACTTTTTTTTGTTTCCTAGAAAAAGTCCAGAAAGAGCTGGAT